CTTCCTAGTTATATGGTATTTTTAAGAAACTAGCCTCCAAGAGGTTAAGAATGCTTCTAAATGCCTCTCTGACGGTATCACTTTGGAGCTTCAACCTGACCAGTCCTTCCTGCTCTTCAGCAGAGGAACCCAAGTGCCTGCCCCCAGCACTCCTCTCCTGCCCTTCCTCCGTCCTGCTCTGTAAGTCTTGAGTCCCAAATGCTTTGCCTTCTTTCAAACATTTATATTCTTCTACCACCTCTCCTTCCCTGACTCTTTCCTTGATAAAATTTCTTCCTTCTGATGTCCCACATACTTGCAGTCCTGGATGATGCCCTCATCTTGTGGAGTTCAGCTAAGGAGCCTGCAATGTGGGCCCAGCTGCCACAGTGCACACTAGGAGGTGGTGCCACGCAGCAGGTTGAGGCCACATGGGAGACCTGGGTTTAGTTCCAAGCCCACCCTAAAACGCTACTTTGGTGGCATGAACTTGTTGCTCCTATGACTTAGGAGGCTGAGGCTGGAGGATGGTCACACAAAAACCTTGTCTTAAAAAAAGAAGAGTCCATGATGTCTCAGAGATCCAGGAGAGATCAAAGGAGTGGTGAACTGGTCATTACCTCCAGAGATGTAGGCAGAGCAGTGTACTGCCCCATGGGAGAGCCACAGATCATGGCGGCTACACACTAATGCTTGTTTTCAGCAAGGTCAGGACAAGGAAGTCCATCACAATTAAATCCAAATGCCTGAGAACCTGATTTTACTGTTTCTTCTTGCTTCTTTTTCTCACTTTCTGTCTCTCTGGTGAGCATATGCACCCTATAGCAAAATCTCTTAAAACACATACACACACACACACACACACACACACACACACACACACTTGCTGGGCACATATACATGGCCAAAATCCTGTGGGGGGGAAAGATGGAGGAAAAGAGACTGTGGTGTAATCATTCCACAAGGGGGTGCTTTCTCACTTTCCCCTTCTCTCTCTCTTTCTCTGTCTCTCTCCAGTAAGTACATGTGCCCTCTAGCAAATTAAAAAAAAAAGTAGTAGAATTTCCTCATGATTAGAACTGGTACATATTATCAACAAATGTTTGGAGTGAAAATGTCATTGATACATACACTTCCAAAAAAAGACCCAACAGAATGCATTTCGAATGTACATAATATAATGTAATGTACCATGCTGAATATGGTGAATGTGTGTCTATCTTTTATTGGATTGCTACAAACTGTACACAAACTGTACCCCCCCAGAGATGCATGACAATTACATGCAAATCAAAAATCACAATAAAAAAATATGTGGGGACTAGCAGATGGCATAATGGTCATGTCACTAGACTCTCATGTAGTTGATCATGGTTCAAGTCCCGGATCCAGTGGCTTAAAACTCAAGCCAGGTGTGTGTGTGTGTTCATGCCCAAAATCCTGAGAGGAGAATGGAGTAGAAGGGACGGCAGAGTGGCCATCCCTCCTTGGGAGTGATTTCTGGCTTTCTTGTCTGTCTGGAGACCACACGCGCCCCGTAACAAAAATCTCCCTTAAAAAAATTATTATATATATAATATATATATTATATATATAATATTTATTATATATATTTATATTTATATATTTACTTGCCAGTCCAAAGCCCTCCAGGCTTCCAGGGCTGTTTCTCTCTAGCAAAGCAACAAGAGCCCTTTAACTTGGCTGGCCGTTCAATAAGCCCAAGTATCTGAGTGATAAGCAAAGCTCTCTGACAATCTTTGGTGAGTAAAAAGTAAGTCTCTGCTTGTTTTTTTGTTTGTTTTTTAGTTTATTTCATGAACAGAACAGACAACATCCTCAGCACTGCGATCCACCCCAGCCTCAGCCCTGCATCAGACCTCCAGACATGAGTCTGGGACCTTTCCACGTGGGTCATGTCACAGAGCATCATGTTTTACTGCCGTGCCACAGTCTAGCCCCGATCTGTTTTCAGCCATGAAGATTTGGGGGTTTCTTGTTAGAGAAACATAGACTACCTTTATCCTGATTGATTAAAAATATAAAATAAAATGAAATGAAATAATAAAATAAAATAAAAGCTGAGGCATCAACACAAGTAGCAAAAAGAAGATCAATAGCCAAGGTTTGGGGGAAATTACTGAGAGCAATGTTTGCACCAGAGAAAGGGCAGTGGTGCAGCAGTAAAGCACGATGCACTGCAAAGTTGACTCCTCAGGAAGGTTCCAGGGTTCCTATCGGGAGACTTCCCCGAGTGCACGGGGCACCAGTGCCCATGACCCATGGCTGGTGAGCCTCAGGGTGACCAGAGCACCCATACACAGGAGAGCACCCCTCGCACATGCCCCCTCTCTCTCCCTGCTTCTCTCTCACTCATAGAAGAAAAAAAATGACCTTTAAGAGCAATATTCCCTCAAGAAATTTCCACCTTTGGGATAAAAGCCTGAGTTTTCACAATGTTTCTCATCATTTTCAGTATTACGATCTGATGGTTGATTCTTTTAAATTCCATTCTTAGTCTACTATTCCCTTGAAGGCAAAAGGTTTCAGTCACAGAAGAGCAATGAAAACCAAAGATTTGAAATACTGAAAAAAACGTGGTTTTATTTTTGAATGGAAAGATCTAATGTAGACCTATTCTTTTGTGTTCAAATCATTTATATATTTGTAATAAAACATTCCATCTTTGCAGATTTCAGTATATTTATTCCCTTCAATGTCCATAAGAGACACATACCACTCAGAAAGCCTTTTATAATATAGATCTTTATCTGTTTAGGCAAAAGCAAGTATGAATAAAACATACTCTTTAGGAAAAGAAAGAATTTATCAAAATGAATTAAGTATGCAAGTAATACAATTAAGGTTCTAATTTAAGCACCTCAGGAAAAAAAAGGAACACGAGTGCTGAGAGAGATTAAAATTACAGTATTTTTTTTTTTTAAGTTTTTGAAGCTCTGTGAAAATGCATCAATTGTTAGCTCAACTTCAGCACAGGTTGAAATGAATGAAAATCTGAATTACTGCTCTAACAGAGTATAGGAAAAAAGGTTTTTTGTGATGTCAGTTATTCTTATTGATGGGCAAATCCTCAAATCAAAAAACAGCTCATAGGGACCAGCAGTTAGCGTAATGGCTATGCCACTGAACTCCCATGGTTCGTGTCCCGGACCTGGTGACTTAAAACTCATGCCAGGTGCATGTGCGTGCATACCCAAGATCTCGAGAGGAGAACGAAGGAGAAGGGATTGCGGCATGGCCATCCCTCCCGGGGGGTGATTTCTCGCTTTCTATCTCTCTGTCTCTCTCTGTCGGCCTGGCAAGCGCACTCACCCTGTAGCAAAAACCTCTCCAAAAAAAATAATAATAATACAGCTCATAATCGTCTGCTCCCAGTCTCTAACATCACAGGTGTCGGTCCTGGTTTAGTAGCAAAGACCTTATTTTGACAGAAAATAGGAATGCAGCACTTCATCCCACTAAGTCATCCAAAGTAAGACTGGCACACACAATATATAAGAGTCAATTCAATATTCCATTTATTCATACTTCACTGGGTCTCTAAACAAAAAGAACTTTGACCTTCGGAGAAGCCCAGTTTGCCAAGTTCAATGTCTGGTTTTTCCAAAATCTACTCGAATGGCTACAAAGTGTAAGGTCCTATATTTTTTCCCTTAGAACTCTAAAGAAAAATAGGGACCAACAGTTGGCATAATGGCTATGTCACTGGACTCCCATGTAGTCAACTATGGTTCAAGTTCCAGACCCGACAGCTTAAACTCAGGCCGGGCACATGTGCGTGCATGCCCAAGATCCCAAGAGGAGAAGGGATTGCAGCATGGCCTGGAGAGGGTGATTTCTTGTTTTCTGTCTCTGTCTCTCTCTGCCTTTCTGGTGAGTGCACGTGCCCTATAGCAAAAACCTCTCAAATAAATAAATAAAAACTTTGTATAGATTTCAAATATTTTTGTAGCAAATAAACTTATACTTTAATTCCATATTTCCACAGACTTTTTTCTTCCTTTTTTTTTTTTTTTTTTTTTTAAGGCGGTTTTTTGTTATGGGGGGGGTTTTCTCACCAGAGAGACAGAAAGCAAGAAATCACCCCCAAGGCGGGATGGCCACACCACAATCCCTTCTCCTCCATTCTCCTCTTGGGATTTTGAGCACACACTCACACGCGCCCAGCGTGAGTTTTAGGCCACCAGGTCCGTAACGTGAACCACATTCACCTACGTGGGAGTCCAGCAACGTAACCATTACACCATCTGCTGGTCCCTCCATAGACTTTTTCAAGTCTCCTCATATAACAATTAATGATGTAATGAGTATTTTAAATGGCTTTTAGATTCTACATACCTATCACCTTTCATGCATATAATGATTCAATCGCGTTACCTCGTGTTTCAACTGCACTGATGCACTTTCTGAGAATCGTGAATCCCATCTTATCCAACTGCGCACCTAAAAGGAATAGTTACCAAACATTACAGGCACAGTGACTTATCACATTTCTCTTCCTTACAAAAATAGAAAAAAAAAATAATAAACCCAATCTTGTTTTATTTTACTATTTGGGAAAAAACTAAAGGCTGTTTATTCTGTACCTAAGTTTGGTAAATAAGTATTTCATATATTTAGAAGAGCCTTTGCTGGAATAGAAGGACATTCATTTATTACCAATAATTCATCAATAAACTTAAAATTACTTGTACATGGATAAGTATAACTTTAAATAATTATTAATACAAAATCAAGACAGATAGGTAGGTAGATAGGCAGGTAGACAGATGTTTCTTAAATTAATTAAAAGTCTAAGCCTAGGAGAAAATTTTTAAGACAATCTTTTTAAAAATATTTGTGTAATGTGCTCTCATCAATGACAATTTTGATATTTTATATACTATGCTCCAAGCTTTTAAAATAATATTTTATTATTTGCATAATAAATTTAAAACAGATGATTCATGTGGCAGAACGGACTATTTTAAAAATACAATTTTATATTTTTTCTAGCGTAGATGCTTGCCTATGACCAGGCTGGCATTATTTGTGTATCCTAATGAGAGACAATTCTTATTTCAAAAGTTTAGTCAAGAAAAGTGGGACTCAGCCACTGCATTTAAAACCCAAGGAACAGTAACCCTAACCCTTGGCTCTTCAAGGGACTACACGGGCAATACTGTAAAATGAACTTTATATATACTCCATAATGCCACCCTTAAAAGTTTTAATGGAGAATATTGGATAGCAGTTTACTGCTATTCCCAAAGTTTTGCAAAATGCCAAGTATTTATTTCTCATTTGCAAAACTATTCTCCCCCAAAAGACTTACTTTAATATCTCTATGATAAACAGGTGATGGGTAGGCGAGTGGAAGGCAGGAAGGAGGGAAGGGAGGGAGTGGGAAGGAAGGAAAGGAGGGGTAGACAGACGGATGCAAGGAAAAGAGGAAAAGAAGACAGGAGCAGAGAAAGGGGGATGAGGAAAAAGCCAGGGAAGGGAAAGCAAAGAATAAAGAAAAAGTGGCTAGGAAAAAGGCAGACAGACGACAGAAGGGGCAGAGAGAAAGGGGAAAGGAACAGGATTAAGGTGTTTCTTTGGGGGTTGCAGGTGGCATAATGGTTAGGGTCTCTCCCACATGGCCAACCACAGCTCGAGTCCCAGACCCGGTGGTTTGAAAATCACGCCAGGCATGTGCGCATACACACCCAAAATCCCAAGAGGAGAGTAGGAGAGAAAGGACTGTAGTACGAACATACCCACTGAGGGGGTGGTTTCTCACTTTCCCCCTCACTTTCTGTCTCTCTCTGGTGTATGCAAGTCCTGTGGAAAAAACCTTCATTATATTTTAAGGTGTTTCAGTGGATATGCTACCCTCCTGTACATTCTGTCATTGACTCAAGTGATCATTATAATTCTGAAATAGTATGTTGCATAACCTAGAGTTTTCAAACTATGGACATATGATAAACATGGCCTTAATTTCTCCAAATAAATCAAAAGTAAATTTGGAAATAACCCAGCATATCCAGTCACATTTTTTTCTTTTATAAAAATCAAGAGTTCAGAAACAAGCAATACTTCATTTTCCTCTGGTATACTCAATGCATGTGAGGAACCTTGTCCTAAAACATCCAGGTGTGCTTAGATGTTAACTGCTGTTTCTATTTCCCAAGGTACAACAATATGCCAGTTGGATGACCCACATTCACAGACCGCAAGGAGAACGGTTACCAAGGCTGAGTTAAGGAGGTTGGGACCAGGTTCCTGATAAACAGCTCCTAACCACAAGGGTGAACCATTTGGACAAAAGTTGAACACTGCACAATATGCTAGTTGGATGACCCACATTCACAGACCGCAAGAACGGTTATCAAGGCTGAGGTAAGGAGGTTGGGACCAGGTTCCTGATAAACAGCTCCTAACCACAAGGGTGAACCATTTGGACAAAAGTTGAACACTGCACACCTGGAACTCTTTTTTATGCATATTTTTTCAAGAATTATCTTGTTTAATTTTATTTGTTATTACTAGTTTTTATTTTGACCAGAGAAAGACAGAGAGAGAGAAAGGGAAAGTGAAAAAGCAAGTCACCAGGTCCAAGACGCAAACTGCAGTCAGTCATGTGGGAGTCCACACCACCTGCTGGCCCCTAACTGGAACTCTCAATGTGATCATTTATGGCTATACGAATAAATACCCAAGAGAATTCTAGAGAAAGTATTTTGGTCTTTGTACAGAAAGATTCATTGGAAAGCTCACAGAAGGAAAGATCAAAAGAGCTATAAAGGTCCAGGACACTCTGAGGAGGTCCCCAGTGAATAAGACAAAGACATAAAACAGACAGAGCTCAGAAGGGAACAGGGAGTGAGACCCCAGCAACAGTTGACAACAGCAATGAGCGCAAAGTCATGCATATAAAAGGGAGATGGAGAGTCATTTGTGTAAATTAGCACTTACTTCCTTCTGGTCTTGGGATGATGGCTCTATTAAAAGTGTGGAAGAGCTAGCAAGAGAGAGAAAGGGAAAACAGTATTTTTAACATCAATAAAAATGATTCAGGTAGGCAAATTTAGGAGCACATAAAAAATACATTATCATAAACTTATACTGGTTAATGTGGTATAATAAGAAACATTTATTTGGTCTTTGTCCCTGCTTCCAGGTACAAACCCTTGGAATTTCCTAAGGGTAAGGAACATCTCTTATTATTCAGAACGAGCCCCTTGTGATCACACCAGAGCTTATGCTAAGGATCACTCAGTGCAGGTCCCCCTGATGGGCTAAGAAAGGGCTGGGCACCAGAAAGACCAAGTGATGAGAGTGTCAGGACCTTCAGCCCCACCCAGGAACTTCTTAAGCACTGAGCTACAGTTTAAGCACTATAAAAAATCTTGAACAGTAAGACGTGATGAGCCTCCGGGTTGGGGAGCATGCCGAGGTACTGGGAGGGTGGAAGCCCACAGAGAGCACAGAAACCATAGGCACCTCCTCCATCCTGGCTTCGTACCTTCTATTTATACCAGATGGGTTAACATAAGTGTTTCTATGAGTTCTGTGAGCCATTCTAGCAAATATTAAACCCAAGAAGGGAGGTGTCTGGGAATCCCCGATTTATAGCCAGTCAGTCAGAGGTAGGGAGGCTTAGGGGCCAGATGGTGGCACAGTGGTAAAAGCTCCCTGGGTGAGGCTGACCCACATGGAAGGTTCCAGGTTTGTACATAGAGACCTCACTGAGTATGCACGCACTCACATGCCCACGATCTAGGGCTGGGAGTGGTCAAGACTCTGGTGGGTGGGGGGGTACTGTCACTCTGTCTACTACTCACAGGAGAAATAAATGAATAAACTTTAAAGAAGAAGAAGAAAGTAGTAGTATGGGAGGCCCAGTGCAGCAATGACTGGCATCTGAACAGTCTTGTGGGACAGAGTCCTTAATTTTCAGACATGATGCTAACTCCAGATAGTTATATCAGAATGGAACTAAATTGTAGGCATCAGATAATTGGTCAGTTAAAAAAAAAAATGTATCAGGCATCAGAAGTGTTCAGTGTGAGGATGGAGAGAAAGAGTGCCGTTTTCTTAATTATATGGTATTAGACGCGAAGATACAAAGATAAATAACAAAAAGGAAACATTTTCAAGGAACTTACTGAAACTTTATGTAAATTTGAAACATTCAACCTTACAGCCACAGTGTGACCAAGAAACTGTTGCACTGTAACTTGATGGAGGAGGCTAATTATTTCAACACTATTTCCAAAGCCCAGTAGGCAGTTAGAGGTAACCTCTGCCCAAACTTTAAGTAACTACATGGGAAGTAGCAAGGTGATCATCCTGGACAGCCTCTCAAAATTCTAGAACTGACCCATTATTTGCAAAGTACGTGGTGTCTGCAAAAGATACGCAGTACCTGAAGTGTCCTCCTCTAAAGACAGAGCTGAATACTGTCTTTCTGCAGGTTTGCTTTAGTCTGTGTCTCTCTGAATAAATTAGTTGGCTCTTCGCTCTAATAGTGAGGTTACATGTGCCTTTGAGGGTACAGTGCCACTGGTCACAGGCATTTCTCATGTGATCTTTTGGCTAAGCAAACTCACTTTCCAAAATATCTCTGGCATCTCTAAGAAGACATACCCCAGTTAGAGCACTGCTTTTTCTGAAGGGGATTAGTATATCCTGTTTCAGATCTCAGTAACCATCAACACTGTAAGTACTCTTCACTCCCAGCTAAGACTCTCAAGGACAAATTTAGAATAAACAAACAGAAAGAAAACTACAGAGGCTAAATGCAGTTCAAATACGGTAAGATGACACATGGATCTGATCGCTGTTTGGTTTGGTTTTTTTTAAAACAAGGATGACACGTTCTCCTATAAAGCAACGGTTTTTACAATATATTAATGTGGGTCTTCATTTCTCAAAGACTGCATCATACTTGCCATGGCACTGCAGACCAGGCCCCTTGCTCCCACAGCAGGTGTCCTCACCACTGTACTCTTTGTTGCTAGGAGAGAACTATGTCTTCCTCTCCCATAAGCTCTATCCTGAACCTCTGAACCGACTGTGATTCCTCTCCACTTTGTAAACTGAGCTCTTTCACTTTTTTCTACACCCTGCTGGGATGGCAAACGCTTTTCTGAGACGCCCACCTGGTACCTGTAAGGCATTTTATTTAGATTCATAATACTTTACACCAAGTTTATTTATGGGAAATCTATGGCATCTTCTATAGTTATCCTCACTAAATCCCCAATTCAATACAGGATGTGACAAATTCGCAGTTCCCAAAGGCCACTAGAGTTCACCAAGATGAAAGCAGTACTGGGATAAAATGGCAACCAGACTGAATTCTGGCGCCTCTGGGTCTCTAACCCGACTCTTCCTTTACTCCTCAGAACAATCCGAATAGAGAGGCCCATGGACTAAGGCTACGTGAGAGAGCATACCATAAACCAGGAGACTGAGCCACAGGTTGTTGAATCAAGGAAAATAATGCAACAGTAACTGAAGGTATTGCCTGTGCTGCCTCGGATTAACAGTGCCATCTCCGCTGAGGTCAAAACACTGCACACATTCACAGTGTTCAACACCCAAGGCACTACCAGGGAGAAAAGAAATCGAGAATTTAGATGACTTCCTCGAACAAAGAAAATCAGAGTAGTAAAGTCAAAAAAAAAAAAAATCAGAAATAAAAACTAGTGCTGGGACCAGCAGTTAGCATAATGGCTATGTCGCTGGACTCCCATGTAGTGGACCGCAGTTCCAGTCCCAGACCCAGTGGCATAAATTCACGCCAGGCACGTATGCGTGTGTGCCCAAGATCCAGAGAGGAAAATGGAGGAGAAAGGATTGCGGCGTGGCCATCCCCCCAAGGGGGTGATTTCTCACCTTCTGTCTCTCTGGTCTTTCTCTGGGTGTCACAACTCCGCCTATAAAAAAACCAACCAAAAAAAAAAAAAAAAAAAAAAACAACTAGCGCTACCCCACGCCGCATGTGGACTGTTGTTGCTACCTCGAACCCCATTACTAGGATGCTGGAAGCTCCCGCGATGATTTCAGACACCATTTTCAGCAGTGAACACTGTCTCAAAAAATCGAAGCAAAAACAACATGGCAACTGAACACAAGGCCAGTCCAGACAACTACTCGAAACAAAAACAACTTGGCAACTGAACACAAGGCCAGTCCAGACAACTGGAAATAAAGCTCAGCCACTGGTTACTCTTACAGCTTCTTTTCCACCCAGAGCTTCCAACCACTGCTTCCTTTCCTCTTCTGAGAAAGCTTGCATGGTCAAGGAGACGCCAGGCCTGGAAGACACCAGAAGATCAGGTTACCACTTGGCTACACAGTCTCCTTTTGTATTTCTGAGGCTGTATTGTGATTATTTCGTTTGTTACTTTCATTTACTAATTTTTAACAGTAGTAAAATATGCATGAAGACTTACCACCGTAACTATTTTTAAGTGTGCAGTTCAGTAGTATTGAATACATTTCACGTTATTGTGTAACCATCACCACCCTCGACTATCCAGCTCTAGAATTTTTTCATCTTGAAAAACTGAAACTCTGTACCCATTACACAATAACTTCCCATTCTCTCTCTCCCCTGTCCCTGGGCAAACACCATTCACTTTCTGTCTCTGTAAATTTGTCTGCTCTAGGTACGGTATACGGATGGAATAATATAGTATTTATCTTGTTGGATTGATTTATTTCACTTAATATAATGTATTCAAGGTTCATCCATGTTAGGGCAAAATGGTGCAGACACTTTGGAAGACAGTTTGATGGTTTTTCACACCAATAAACATACTCTTAACCAATACGACCCAGCAACTGCTTTCCTTGGCATTTAGTCAGAGATGCTGAGAATTTATGTCTACAGAAAAACCCACACGTGGATATCTGTAGCAGCTTTTGTCCTAACTGCCCAAACTTGGACGTGGCCAAGACTTCCTTTGGTAGGTGGATGGATCAGCTATGGTACATCCAGCCAATGGAATATTGTTCGGTGCTAAAAATAAATGTGTCATCATGACATGGAGTAAGTTTAAATGTGTATTACTCAGTCAAAGAAGCTAATCTGAAAATGTTACATACCCTACCATACCAATGATAAGTCCTCCTAAAGGTAGACTACAGGTACAGTAAAAAGATGAGTGGTTTCCAGGGACTGGAGGGGAAGGGATGAATTAGGCTGAGGACAGAGGATTTTCAGAGCAGTAATGATATCTGATACTACCATGGTGGGTACTTGCCATTATACAATTATCCACACCCATGGAAAGCACAACGCCAAGGATGAGTTCTAATGTAAACTGGGCACTCTGCGTGTTTATGACATGTGCGTGGAGATTTGCCAACTGTAACAAACAGGCCACTCTTGGGGGGGAGGGGGGTATGCTGATGATAGAAAAGCCTACCTCTGTGTGGGTAATGGGGCTATGGTTCTGCCTTCCTCTTAATTTTTCTGTGGACATAAAGCTGCTCTTAAAACAAAATCTTGGCGGGGTGGAGTAGGGGGAATGTTAGCAGAAGGCATGGAAGTTAAGGCACAGGATTGCCACACACTGAGTCCCAGACCCATTGGCTTGAAAGTCACGCCAAGTGCATGTGTGTGTATGCCCAAAAATCTCCAGAAGAGAATGGAAAAGGAAATGCAGTATGGCCTCCCCTCTGGGGTGTGGTTTCTCCAGAGGGCCAGTACAGGCACCCAATAGCAAAACTCTCTCTTAAAAAAAAAAAAAAAAAAGTCTTGCAGGTTGGGGAGCAGCAGGTAGTGTGTGAGATTACGGCACTGGATTCCCATATGGCCGACCACAGTTCAAGTACCAGGCCTGGTGGCTTGAAAATCACACTGGGCACATGTGGGCGTGTGCCCAAAATCACAGGGGGGAATGAAGGAGGAGGGATTGTGGTGTGTGCTATCCTCTCCAGAAGGTGATTTCCTACGTCCCCTCGCTGTCTTTGTCTCTCTCCAGGTGAGTGCACGCATCCTATGGCAAAAACCTAAAAGAAAATAAAGTCTCTAAAAAAATTTTGTTTTAATTCAGAGTTATCCCCTAAGCCAAGAAGGCAGAAAGGGCCCACGCCGAGGAGAAGAGCACACACTGGAGGAGTTACAACAGCAGCCTCGTTGCTGATCCTGCAGCCAGCTGAAGAGTGGCACAGTGGAAAGCAGAAGGGGCAACCTATGTCCAGCCACACAGGTCTACTTGGCCATGCTATGCACCTGCTTTACCCTAAGTGCCACTGCAGGTTTTTAGGAGGAGGACAACAGGATCAGATTAAAGTCCTACGTACATACTCTTAACTGCTGGGTGGAAAACAGACAGCACAGGCAAGCGTTGGCTGCGAAGATATAAGACTAGAAGGATGATACAGAATGGCAAAAATGAAGAGGGGAAAAAAATGGGTTTGAGAAATACCCCAGAAGTATTTCTGCATGCTGCAGGCAACAAAACACTGAGAAAGCTGTCACCCCGAGAATAAAGGATAAAAAGGGAAGCTATGCTCTAAACGCCATCCTGTAGACTCTTGAAATACTCAGACGAGAAGCCATTTTAAATCTGAGGTGTGTCCTGGTGTGTTCGCACAGCACCCTTGCATGCCGTACGGTTTTCATTTTCTATCATTTTACATAATTTTTTGTTTACTTTTTTGGTCCTTTTTTCCTAGTTTTTTTCCATTTGATTTTTTTAACCTTATTTTACCACTCTGCTCTTCACTCTCCATACACCAAGAGTCTCAAAAGGCCTAGGTGAACGGTAGGCAAGCATCTGAATAATTTTAGAGTCATTGAAATCCTAAATGCATACTGAACCTCCTGTTTTAAGGAAGAAACTTCTTTTTATTTTTATAAATCTGAAGTCATAATCTCTTTCTGTGGATACCACATCGCAAGGCACAGTAGAGGAGAACTTCTGTCACAGAATGACCAGAAACCACCACAGAAGCACAAGAAATATGAGAAATCAAGAAAATATCTCTCCCCTAAGGGAAAAGAACAATCCTTCATCACCAGTACAGTAGAAATAGTGGAAATGTCCGATAAAGAATTCAGAAAAATCACAGTGACAAAACTAAAGGAGATGTGGACCAGCAATTAACATAATGGCTATGTCGCTGGACTCCCACGAAGTCGACTGCGGTTAGTGTCCCGGACCTGGGGGCTTAAAACTCACACCAGGTGTGTGTGTGCGTGCCCAAG